GAGTTATTCTTTTACTTTGAAATAACAACTCATTCCCTGTGGACTTGTCCACAAGATGAAAAAGAGGAATGTTGTGTAGGCATGGGGGCGGGGGAAGAGGGAGACAGAAAGGTTTTCTTACCTAGGGTAAGAAATCTTTTGTAAATGTTCATTTCTCCATTGGTCTGTCTTCTTTTTCTTCTGGGACTTCATTTGTCATATGTAATGTCAACAGGTGAGTCAATAGCAATGTCAATAATGATCCACAATTGTGCAAGTCCTTTGCCCTAAGCTTGGCCTCTATATCTACCCACATTGCAATCCAAACACTCCCAACCAAAGCTAACTTTTTTTTCCTACGGCCATCTGCCAGGTAAACTAATAATTCAATAATCCAGGTCAACTAAATAGCCAACTGTTTCCTGGCCCAAAATTCAGTTGGGATTCTCCAAACTCTAAATTCTCTACCACGAAACATTTTATTCTCTCTTGTACTCAAGTGCTTGTACTTCTTGTACTCAAGCTCTATTTAAAATTCATTGCAAACTTTAAAGTACTACATAAATGTCAATTATTATCATTGCTAATAATATTAATCAATCAAGAAGCACCTATTATGTGGCAGGTGCTGGCAACAGGAAGACACAAATGAAACAATCCCTGCCCTCAAAGAGCTTACATTCTATCAGGGACAACAGCAAGTATTTAAATAAGTGTGCACAGGTTTGTATACAGAATGAATACAAGGCAATTTGAGGGATAAGGCACTAGTTGATGGGGATCAGGAAAAGTTTCCTGTTAAGTGAGTTAATCTAAGAGATTGAAGTGAGGAGGGATATCATTAGAGGCATGAGCGGTAACTGATACAACGGTATAGGGATAGGAGATGAGTGTCATGTGTGAGCAACAGCAAAAAGGTCAATGTGACTGGACTTTGGAGTGTGTGGAAGGGATGTATAATAAAGCTGCAAAGGTAGTTTGGGACCCTGTTGTGAAGGGTTTAAATGCCAAACAGAAGCCTTAGATCCTAGACCTAGATGAAACCAGAAGCCACTGAAGTTTATTGAGCAGGGAAGGGACATAGATCTGTAAATACTGAGAAATAGCAATTTGCCAACTGCATGGAACATGGACTAGAACAGGGAGAGAATGGATGCAGGGAGACCAGTTAGGAGGCAATTGTAATAGTCCAGGTAAGAGGAAATGGAGGACAGAAATGGGATGGTTGATATGTGCATTTAAAGGAAAGGGATATGAGAAATTTCATGGAAATAGAAATGACAAGATTTGGCAACTGACTGCATATGTGGAGTAAGGGAGAGTGAACAGCTGAGGATGATTTTGAGGTTGCAAACCTGGATGCCTAGAAAGATGATGGTGTATTTGACAGAGCCCAGGAAGTTTGGAATAGAGGCAGGGTTGGGGAAAAGATGAGTTTTGTTTTGGCCATGTTGAGTTTGAGATGTCTCCAGTCCAATGTCCAATAGGTAGTTGGTGATACGGTACTAAAGGTAAGCAAAGGCTGTATAAAACTGGGAATCATATGCATAGGGTTGAGAATTAAATCCATGATAGCCAACAAAGTCACAAAGGGAGAGAAGAAAAAAAGTCCTGATATAGAGTCTTACTGGCAATTAGGTGGTAGAGTGGATAGAGTGCCAGGCTTGGAGTCAGGAAGACTTCCTGAGCGCAAATCCGGCCTCAGACACTTACTAGGTATGTGACCCTGGGCAAGTCACTTACCCCTGTTTGCCTCAGTTCCTCATCTGTAAAATAAACTGAAGAAGGAAACAGCAAACCATTCTTCTTTGCCAAGAAAACCCCAAATGGGGTCACGAAGAGTCAGATGTGACTGAAACGTTTCAGCAACAATACAGCCTTGGGATATAGCCACAGTTGGGTGTTGGGATATGGAGGATGATTCAATAAAAGAGACTAATTGTTTTTATTATTTTTATTTTTACAGATGTGTAGGAAGCCAAGGCCAAGAAAGGAGGTGTGACAGAAGTGAAGATCCAGATGGGAAGAGAAGAAAGGGACAGTATCTTTTTTTTCCCCCCAGGTTTGTAGGTTTTAAGAACTAAGAACTTTTGGTGAAAGTAATAATAATAATCATAGAGATAAGTGGCATTTGTACACTGTACATCACTGAGTTTTGCAGAGTTTTCCATGTATCCTCTCATTTGAGCTTTACAAAAATCTTGTGAGGTATGTACTACAATTACTATCATCTCCACTTTGCAGATGAAGAAACTGACACAGCTAGTGTCTGAGACAGAATTAAAATTCAAGTTTTCCTAACTCCAAGTCCAGCACTCTCTCCAGATTTGCACACCAATAAAATGTTGCCCTGGATAGGCCATTGGGAAATGTTACACTAGACTTACCTTCTCTTTATGTTTTCTTTTTGGCTTGGATGGCTGTTTTATTAAACATAGGGTACATAGTAAGCACTTAATAAATGCTTGTTGATGAACTGAAAACTTTTTTCAACTTGTTCATAATAAGATCTTAGTCTTGAGTAATATGTTTCCTGAATTCATCTGGTAGAGTTTCATGGGGGCAGTTATGTGGTGCAGGGGACAGAACGCCAGGCCTCGAGTCAGGAAGACCAGGGTTCAAATCCCACCTCAGACATTTAGACACTTACTTTTATACATGTGTATATGTATATACATATATATGAAAGGGAGGTGTGATAGAAGTGAAAATCAGGATGAGAGGAGAAGAAAAGGAGCAAGTCATTTACCCTTATTTGCATTAGTTTCCTTATTTGTAAAATGAGCTAGAGAAGAAAATGGCAAACCATTCCAGTATCTTTGCCAAGAAAATCCCAAATGGGGTCACGAAGGGTTGGACATGACTGAATGACAACAAAAGTTTCATGGAGTTTTAGGATTTTGATAATTTGTCTGGCTTAGAAATATAAACTGACAAAGATTTGTCATCTGGCATTCACTCCTGTCAATGATCAAGTGTATAACTTATTTTTCCCATTTGAGCAGTTCACAATATTTAAGCACAGAGGATGACTTGCCCAAATTCCTACAAATTGGTGACAGATCCAGGACTATTCACCCGGCTTCTAGTGGTGGGCCTATGTTGTCCCCTTTTTTGGGGGTGGTAGGGGAAGGGGGGGCAAAAATGAGAACTGAAAACTAATGATTAATCAACAGGAACTAGCTGGAATTAATGCTAAGATTAAAAATAGGAATGCCCTGTTAAATTTTCAACCCCGACCCTTCTTTATTTCCCTATGGTCAATTATATTTTCCACAACTTGAATAAGAACTACACTCTAGCGCTGATCAGTGAAGGAGCAGTGATTCTGAAGAACATGTGAAAAAGGTATCAGAAGACCAGTCAATATTCAAGAAAGGGAAGAAGAGTAGAGAAGCTAGAGAAAGTTACCTCGGGCTTTATGTCTTTGCATAACAAACTTTTTCTGAATACTATGGGTTGCTAAGTAGGCAGCGGCTAAAGTTCTAAAGAGACCAGTTCTGCTCTAGACTTAAAAGTTTTAAGATTAAATAATGATCAAATATCAATAATATTTATTAAGTGCAAAGTTTGCTCAGCACTGTACTTGAGACACTGGAAAATAGGAAAACATAAAAACACTCTCTCTTCTTTCATTTACGGAAAGCAGGCTGGCTGCTGGTACACGGTGGCCACTTTAGCTGTTCGATACTGACCTTGAATAAGCAGTAGAATAACAGCTAGCTTCAAGGTTTGCAAAGCACTTTACACATGATGTAGTCACATTCTGCCTCGGTTTACTCATCTCTAAAATGGGGATACTATTACTTGGTCTTAATCCTTTCCCACCCTCTGGGACAGCCCATCACGTTTGCTCTAGGGGTGCTCGAATTCCTTCAACTCGTTTCAAGAGAATTCATGCTAAATTCGATTGTAAACCCCTTGAAGGCAGTGGAGCCCGGGTTGTCCTTCGTCAACTTCCTCCGTGCCTAGACCCAGGGCACACGTTCTCACACCCAGGAGACCAGACGTCAGTCTCCCTAGGTGGGCGGAGGAGGTTGAGGGGAGGACGCCACCTTCCAGGGAAGTTTTGTCTCGTTGAATAAACTCACTCTCCAAGCTGGTGATGGATTGTGCAAAGGGGAGGCGACTGAGCGGGGTGGGGGTGGGGGCATCGCCCGTCAGTCCTCTACCAGGTCCCTCCTGGCTCGCACAAGGGCTGGCCCAAGAACCCGGGGGGCAGCAGCTCGTATGGGCTGGGGGCGAGGCGAAAAGAAAAGGGCTGGTCCCTGAAGGCCCCCGAACCCGTGCCCTGGCTGAAGCGGCACCCAGGCCTTGGGCTGGGAGAGGGCGGCAGGTCCCGGCAGCCCCGGAGAGCGACGCCTGACGGATGCACTTTCGCTCCCGCCCCTGACCCCCTTCCCCTTCCCCTTCCCCTTCCCCTCCGCGCCTTTGCACCCAGAGCCCTGAGCACAGGGCAGCTCGGTCCCCTCCTGCTTCCCTCCCACCTCGCCTCTCCCTCCTCTCCTCTTCTCGCGGCTCTTCCCCGCTCCCATTGGCCGCCGGGGAAACCCTCCTCTCCGTCCAATAGCCGCGGCCTGCGGCCCATTCGGCTCCAGCTGCCGGCTCTCTGAGTGGCCGGCGGCCGGCGGAGTGGCGGGCCAACGACCAATGGGCGCAGGCCGGCCGATGAATGGCTGGTCCTGGGTGGAGGGGAGGGGGCGGAACGCAGGAGGCGGCGATCCCGGCGGCGGCGGCGGCGGCGGCGGCGGAGGAGGAGGGGGGTGGGGGGGGCAGGGGGCGTTCGCCAGCTCCGAGGCAGAAAGTGCCACGACTCCACACACTCACACACACGCATACACACACACACACACACGCACGCAGCGCCCAGACTGTCGGACGGCAGTGCAGCTGGGGAGCGGGGAAGTCTGGGGAGGCGGCGGCAGGCGTGCAGCGGGCACTGCGGGGCGCTCGAGCGGCAGGCGGAGCTGCCTTCCTTCTCTGGGGCTGAGGCGAGTGGCCGGCGCCGGCTCCTCCTCGTCGGGGCTTCTTCTTTTCCCGTGACCGGCGGCGGCAGCGTTCAGCGGCGGCGGCGCCTCTTCCTAATTCCGGCTTCTCCTAGTGCAGGTAGGAAACTTCGCCCGGGGCTCCATCGCCGCTCCCGCCGCCCGACCCTGGGGGAGCTGCCCCGGCATCTGGGAGGGGCGGGCTGGGCTCCCCAGGCTTCTCGGACCTGACTGGACCGAGCCTCCTTCCTGTTTCCCCCCACCCCCCGGCCCGTCGAGGAGCAGCCATGTCCCTCCTCCCTTGGCTCTGAGGGGGGGGCACTCCGTCTAGGAGCGGCCGTGTCCCCCCCTCACTAGCCTTTGGGGAGGGGGTGCTCCGTCTAGGAGCGGCCGTGCCTCCTCCTCACTAGCTTTTGGGGATGTGGCGCTTCCTCCTCCCTGGGGTATGAGGAGGGGGCTCCCGGGCTAGGCGAGCTGGTGCCCCATCCTCCCAGGCCTTTGGGGAGGGGGCGCCCCGTCTAGGAGCGGCCGTGCCCCCTCCTCACTCGTCTGTGGGGAGGGGACATTCCCTCCTCTCTAGCCTTCAGGAAGGGGGAGCTGAGTTTTCCTCGACGGGGTGGTCTGTTGGCTGTCCCCCAGGAAGGACTTGAGGGAGTGGGCAGGGGGGGCTGCCGGAGTGACACGTCTCCCTCCCAGCCCCTCCTCTCCCCGCCCTTCCGCGGTGGGGCTCGGGATGGACCCCGCGCACGAGAGTTGGGGATCCCCCACCTTCTCCAGCTCCCAGTCTCCCTGACCCCCTTCCTCGGGGGGGGGGGGGAAGATCGAGGGGGGGGGCCGCCGCGGGCCAGGGGCGCGAGGGGCAGGAGCCAATTCCTCCCAGGCTCGGCGGAGAGTGAGACCTTTAAAAAAAAACACGGTCTTGCCGTTCCCCGCGGTGCGGGGCTGAGGGCAGCCCTGGCCGAGGCCCTGCCCCCCCTGCCGCCGTCGGGCCGGCGCCGCTCCTGGGCTCTTAAGTTGGGGAAGAAAAGTTGGCCGCGGCTCGGTCTGGGCGGCCCCCGAGTGGGCCACGTTCACAGCTGGAAGAGGAAAGAGTTAAATTTGGGGAGGCTGTAAAGATGACGTTGCCTGACTCCGGAGTCCTGGGACAGGATGGGGGGTGGGGGTGGAGGGGATGGGATAGGATGAGGTGGGGACTGGGGCGGAAGGAGGGAGGGAGGGACGGGGGCTTTGAATGGGAGGCTCGGCAGGCAACCCGTTAATTCCTATTGCAATTTTCTGAGAGTTGGGGAGCTGGGGGCGGGGCGACTGTAACCGGATCATCCTGTGGGGGGCGGGGGTTCCCTGGAAGCGAAAAAGCAGAGTTGGAAATCACAGCCTTGGTTCCTGATGTGCTGCTTTAAGCTTGCAACTCCCCCCCACCCCCAGTTGCCTGGGGCATCCTGATACTGCTCCCCCTGGTGGCAGGGGTCGCTGCATCATGTGGAGGGAACCCTTTATCTCAAGTCCTCCACCATAGCCCCCTAAGAAAAAAAGTGAGTAAGTGTGTGTTTGTTTGTAGGGATAGCAGAGAAAGTTGGAGATAAGGTTTTGGTTTTTGGTTGAAGCCCAGGAAAGTCAACAAGCATTCAGTAAGTGTTTGTTAAGCATTCACTGTGTGCCAGGAACTGTGCTAATCCCTGGAAAGCCTGTCCTCCTGCCCTAAAACTTTTTAATGCAGTATAAATAAATTATAATATTAGAGTAAAAGTTATGATTTGGGGCAGACATCCCAGTATTAAAGCTTTATGGGACTAGAGATCTCTCTTCAAGCTCCCCCAGCCCTAATCTGGACTCTGATGAATGGGCATCTTTATTTCAGTACCTTAGGCAGACTGTTGGATTCAGGGCATCATTCAATGGAAACAGATACAATAATCCTTGGGTTCAAATACTGGCTCTGCCACTGACCTTGGACAAATCACTATCTTTCTGGACCTCCGTTTTCTAATCTGTACAATAAGGGGGCTGTACTAGGTGTTTTCTGTTGCCCCTTCCAAATCTGCATATGTAACTGCCTAGTTCTGCCTTGGGCCATTTCCCTTTCCTATTCCAGGACTTTAAAGACGGGGAGAGGGGAGATGAATACCTGAACCATAATTAAAACCTCATTGGTCTTATTCTTGAACCATTCTTGACCACATATTCTGGGAAGTAGTTTGCACATTTGGTTAGCACCTTGGACTTGCTGATTCTGACTGCCCCTAAAAGGAGTGTCAGAAGGGATTTCTTCTCTTGTAGAGTATCATACCCAAAATTTGCTCTAAACTTTCCAGTTTGAGGCAGAGCTGTCCCTGATGTTGACTGCTTCACTTAAGATAAGCTGGCACAGAAAAAAAAACCCTGCTGTGACCTTGAGCAAGTAATTTAAACCTCAGTTTCCTCAATTGTAAAATGGAGATGATAATACCTATCCTGCCTGCCTCAGAGTGTTGTTATGCAGATCAGAGACAGTGTATGTGAAAGCTTTGGAAACTCATAAAATACTATGTAATAAAGATAACTTGGAGAAGATCCAAGAAGACTTGTGCAGCTCCTAGGAAGTGAAACTGAATGAATTCTCTTTTGGACCACATCCAGTCACCTTTTCCTTCCTTTACTTTCCAATTTTTGTCTTTATTCCTTTCCTTTGGAAGAGAGGAGAGTAGAAAAAGGGAGCTCCTGAGTTACCTGCCATCCACCCCCCAGCTATATGTGAGCACATAGACCAGCCAGAAGTCTGGAGAATTTCTTGGGTCTGGGGCCATCTTCCTCCCCCTCTCCCCCTGCTTTGAAACTTTGAGTCAGGCCTAGACTTATATCTCAAACTCTGCAATAAGTTTCAGCAATCTTCAAAGTTGCAGATGTACCTGCAGGCTGCAAACTATAGCAAGGGACTTTAGAGATGAAGATTTAAGATCTTTAAATTGTACAAAAGGCAGTGTAGTGAATAGAAAGCTGACCTCAGAATTAGGAAGACTTGGATTGAGTTCTACTTCTGACACGTATATTGGCTAAGTGGCCCTGGACAGGTTACTCTCAGTGTCCCAGGCCACTCAAAAATTGTGCTGTGCCAGTCTGTATTGGTAGAAGAAGCTCTCCCAATGAGAGTTCCCTAAAGGGAAGAGATTGAAAATCTGGTCCAAGCACACACAACGTACTGAAAGTATGTTTGTGTCTCAGAACTTCCTGGCTTTCCCTCCCTTTCCATAGGTTTGCTTAAACTTTGGCCCCATGCCTACTCCAAGAAAGATGATACCAGGTTGCGCAGAAGATAGGCTTTCTGTGTGTCCGTGTCTGTGTTGGCAGGGAGGGGAGTGGGTTCAGGGCTGTCTCCTAGTAACTGCAAGGATTCTTTGCAAGTCTCTATATTTGAGCCAGTTTCTTCTCCATAGTTGGGACTGATGATCTGAAATTTTATAAACAAAATGAGCAGTTGGAGTGACAAGTATCATGCTAAGATTGTTTTAAGGGGAGAGGAGTCTTGTTTTAAGTAAATCTTAAGCATTAAGTCACATTTGAACAATTACCTCTTTTTAAATGAGCCATGTCTGGACAGCCTGCAATAATTATAAAATTAAACTTAAATTGTTGAATGTAAGTTACCTAGTTGGAATATTGATTTATTCTGCCTAATGAGATGACTTTAAATTTTTTCAGGACCCTGAATAATTCTTTTTAACTTTTATCTAAATCAGCCGTTCTCAAACTTTTTTGTCTTAGGACCTCTTTTATGTTCTTCAAAATTATTGAGGACCTTCTCCCCTTCAAGAGTTTTTGTTTATGTGGGTTATATCTCTTAGTATTTATGATATTAGAAATGAAAATATCTTATCATTAGGAAAATAATTTTTACATTCAAAACTCCCTTCAGGTCTTAGGGACATCCAAGACCCTAGACCACACTTTGAGATTTGAAACATTTAGGCTAAAATGATCAGGACATGGTGATTCCAAGACTACAAAATATTTCTATCAAGATACTTCTTTAACAGCTAGTGATAGAATGAATACAGCACCTGGCCATTGTCAGGAAGACCTGAGTTCAGTTTGGCCTCAAATTACTTAATCTCTGTCTTCCTCAGTTTCTTCCAACTGTAAAAAATGGGAATAATAATAGCTCCTAAATATTTGTAAAAAGCATTTAGTACAATGACTGACACATAGTAGGCGCTATATAAATGCTTACTCCTTCCCTTCTTTCCCAGGTCAGAATTATAATTCAGAATTCAATCAGTATCATTCAGAATAGAATCCTTTAGGGTGTCCAGTTACTTTGCTTTCTTTTTGAAAAACCTTCTGTTTGAAAGTAGCCCTATTAGTGTAACTAAACAGTTTATTTGTCAGTTGGACATGTCAGCCTAATTGTTAATATGCAGTTTCACTTGTTTTGAGACAGGCTGATAGTCTTACCTGTTTTTGCAAAGGCCCTGAGCATAAATCAGTCAGCTAGAATTTATTAAACTCCTACTACGTGCCAGACACTAATCAAAGTGCTTGGGATGCAGATTTTTAAATAGGAAGCAAACCAGGCAAGCATAGTGAAAAGCAAAGGGTGATGTAAGAGTCTGATTTTTGGATAGCTTATTCTTTTTTCTTTTCTTTTTTTTTTTTTTTTTACTAGTTCTGTGATTTTATTGGTATAAGGAATTCCTTATGAAGAAGCTCCTTCCGCTAATGCAGAACAATACTTATACCACAATTTTATAGTCTTAGAGCCTGGGTACTGGCAGGTTAGGTTATTTGGCTGGGGTCATGAAGCCACTATGTGTTACATGTGGGACTTGAACTCAGGTCTTCTACTTCTTGATTAAAGCATAGTGACTCTTCTCTCATTATAAATTTCAGATCTCTGGACAGAGTTTTCTTGACAGTTTTGGAGTAAAGCATTACTGCCTTAAAAAGAAAAAAAATGGTATTTTAAAAATAAAACAGTATTTTATTAATTACCTGTGTAGTGCCACTGTGGCAGTGCAGATTAGTGGAAAGAATGCTGCTGGATTTGGATTTTGGAAAACTGGTGCTAGTACCATCTCACACACTCACTAGCAGTGTGAATCTGGGCCAATCATTTAACCTTTCTGAGCCTCAGTTTCCTAATCTGTA